CTGGACACCGCAGCTTTGCACATGAGAAAACCCGGCCCCCTGGCCCCCGGCCTGGCCCTGCCCGTGAGCAGAGACCCACCACGCACCCGGACTCGCCGCATGCAGATGCTTCAACGGTTGCCCAGCAGAACCTGCCAGGCAGCGGGGGGCACCGTTACGCTGCCCAGCTACCCCCACCCGCTGGGCACTCACCAGCCCCAGGCCTGCGCGCGGCCAGCATCGCCAGCAATAGCAACGCCAACAGGGCAGCCGCTCAGCTCCGACGCGACGTCCTCTGGCCACAGGGGGCGCCTTTCCCTTTGGTACGACCGGGTCCCCGGCCCCGCCTGCGGTACGACGCTGGGCCGGGCTGAGCGCGGGCAGTGGAGATGAATCCAGCCAGCAGTGATTAACCCCTCCCCAGAGGACCCCGCCCCTCCCCCCCAGGGACTGCAGCACCAGCCACCGCCCTTGGCTTCGATGACGGTACGATACGGCCGGAGCTGAAGGAGGCAAGCGGCCCCAGCCTGCGGCGGCCCCCAGGGCTCGGCTGTCTGTGTCTCATTGTTAACGCTGTTTTTTTTTTAAATTGATCTTTTTAAAGTTATTAAAATATTAAGTTTTGTGCCAAAAACAGCTGCTTCGAGGAGCCACGTGTGTGGTGGCTGGAGAGAACCCAGGAGTCCTGACTCCAAGCCCCCGCTGCTCCAACCCTCTAGATGACACGTTCTAAAGGTAGCTGGGCCCACGGTGATCCTCTGAGTCCAACCAGCTGCAGAACAGGCCCCCGCCCTTCCTGGATTCACTCCTGCTCCATTGAGAGCAGAACGTCCCGGCTCCACTGGGAAAGGGCCAGTGCTGAGAATCCACCACGCCCCCGGGGAAGCTGTCCCGAGGTTCATTTACCCTCCCTGCCGATATCCAGTGTGACGGTCTCGCTTCCAGCCCTTTGGGTGCGAGACTGAAGAGACCATGATCACAGTCCCTATAGACTGACCCAGTCACCCCTTCCCTGTCTCTGCTAATCCAACTGAGCTCCTGGAGTCTGTCACTACAGGGCAGGTTTGCGAATCCTCACGGGCCTTCTGGCCTCTCTCCAATTGATCAGCCTCTGTCTGGAAGTGGGGACACCAGAGCTGGACACTAGTTAAGCGGCACTCAGACCAGTGCCAGATACGGAGTAAAATAACCTCCCTCCTCCTACCTGAGCGTCCCCTCTTCACGCATCCACTGAAAGTTATTTCATTAAATAACAACAGATAAACCCCCAAACCACAATCTCATCTTTTTTTTTCACTAAAATCTCCTGATTTGGGGGCCGAGTTCCTGATTTTGGGGTTTGTCTCACTTGATCTCCTGGCGCTGTTCATGATCAGCTCCCACCAAGAGCAGAAAGAGCCTGACCCACCTGGCCTCTAGGGGGAGCTGTTTGCTTGGTGACATATAATATCTGATTAGTATTAAGCCTTGGTGATTATTTCCCATTAGCCCTGGCTGTTGCAGGCCCCACGGAGGCACCGACATGGTTCAGGCTGATGTTGTCATGCTGTCTCTCACTTGCTCCCTCTGTCGCGTTCTCTCGCTCTGGGTGCAACTTCCTCAGCTGGTGCCAGCCTTATAAATGCTGCTATTTCCAGCCTGTCCCGCTTGTGCCCCACCTCCCCCCACCGCGGCACCCATTGGCTCTATAAGAAAGAGGAACTGGCCTGGGCCACTGTGGGGGTAGGTGGGTTTGAGGGAACAGGTTGTACTTCTAGGTTAAGTACAACTGTATAAACACACAATGCCACAAATGCAATTGTGTGACGACAACCGTGCAAGCATGCTGTAGCTACAGCTGTGCAAACACAGTCTGCTGCAAGTACAACTGAACAACTGTCAAGGTCTAGTGCAACCACCACGTAACTACAACCTTGCAGGCACAATTGGCTGCAAGTGCAACTAAAACCAGGGAAGTACACTACAGCACAACTACACCTGGGTAACGACGGTCATGCAAGCGCACAATGCAGCACGTACAATGGTGCAGCTGTACAAACGCTACACTACAGGTGCAACAGCTCCACTACAACTGTACAAAAGCACAATGTTGCAAGTGCAATGGTACAATGGTGCAGCTAAAACCGTACAAGCACGCAATGCTCCCAGTGTAACTGCAACTACCACTGTGCACCACGACACTGCAAGGAAAATTGCGCACCTGTGCAAGCGCACTATACTATAAGTGCAACCATGCAAGCACCATACTTTGCAAATGCAAGCACCTTTATGCTGAAAGTGGAATTGTACAACAACCTGGCAAGCTCACAAGTATAATGACAGCCGTGCAAGCACACCACACTGAAAGTGCAAGTGTGCAAACACAATATGCTACCAGTGCAACCACACTAGGCTCCAAGGGCACTGTGCAACTATAGATGTGCAAGCACAATACACTGCAACTGCCTTAAGCCCATTGCTTTGCGGTAGACACATTCGTGTCCAGTCCTTGTGCCCTGGCTGTGACTCTCTCAGCTGACCTACTAACAACACGCAGGCTGGTGTCCACACAGCAGCCTTTTCCACCTGCCTTGTCCTTGCTGCCGGAGTTTGTCCCAGTGCATTCTGGGAAACTGGGCTGCAATTGAGAATTACTTGCTAGCTCAGGTCCAGTCCCCCTGCTCCAATGCAGATTTAACTATTTCTGCAGAGGAGAACGGCTTCAACAGGAGAGGGTGAGAACACCCCACCTCTGAATATCCCATAAGGTGCTTGCTTGGGAGCCCTGTGCTGCATCAGGCAGAGTGGAGATTAGAACCTGGGTCTCCCACATCCTGGAAGAGGCTCTGACCACTGGGATAAGTGGGGCACCCCCCATGATGCTTTGTGCAGGACCCAATTTGGGCTGGAAACTGACTGGGAGGCAGATGGCAAATGAACAGAGCCCAGTTGGTCTGATTTTAGAAGATCGCCTGGTTTGCAAGCTGCGCTGGTGATTCTCTGAGGTGCTGAGGTGTGACAACCACATGCAGCACTGAGGACACACAAACCTCCACCTTCCTTTAATCTACAGCGGATGGGCGGCTGGATTTCTGGGTGTGGATTTGTACAGCACCTAGCACCGTTCGAACG